TTTGGTTTGGTTATGGTTTTATTCGAAAAAAACCGAAGAAATAACCGAACCGAACCGATGAATTATATACATATATTTTATTAATATACATACTTAATATATTATTTTTATAAACAATTTTAAAGATCTTATACATATTTTCATTAAAATTTCTTTATAATTTACTTATTGAAAGCAAAAATGCCCAAGATGAAACATTTATCTTATTGATTTCATGTATATGAGTGTCTATGTCAATTCTTTGTGGGACTGAAAATGTTATTGTCTCTTCCTTCTAGGCCAATATAGTGAATTTTAAAACTTTATTGATAGTAAATTTAGTGATTGAAAGTGTAGTAATGTAAGTCATTCTAACTATTTTTCGTTTTGAATGGATTGTTGTCACTTTTTTCACATTTTAAATGAATTGTTTCTTTTATTTTTGTGTATGGTTAATAACCGAATAACCGAACCAAACCAAACCGAAATCGATAATCACCAAACCGATACATGTATATTATATTTGGTTTGGTTTGATTTTGATAATTTTAAAACCGATTAAATTGGTTTGGTTTTGATTTTGACCAATAACCGATCCAAACCAAACCGTGAACACCCCTAAGTGAATGTGTGAATATTACTACATAAAACTATGGAACTATACATTTAATTATGGACATTCAGATTGATATAATATACTTTCTCCGTTTCAATTTATGTGATACATTTCAGATTTTGAGATTCAAATAAATTTATTTTTGCACATATATCTTTTAAATATTTTAAATTGTATATAAATTTCATTTTAAAAAAATTAAAAATTTCATGTACAAATTTTCGTCAAACTTAAAGTGTAGCATTAAATATATTTTTTCCTTAATAAGAAAAAGAAGGTTTATCAATGTTCTTCTTCACCTCGGGCAGCACGGGCAGTCGTAGGGGCACAAGCAACTGACCTATCTTGACCTATTAGTAATTATTTTTTATAATTATTGAAAAAATAAATATATCAGAAAATAAAATAAAAAAAATCACTTTGCACTCAGAAGAAGGGAGAGGATCGAATTCGAAGATCTCATCAAAGAGGAAAACGAAGTTCATCTTTTTCAGCTCTCTTCATTACTGTAAGTTTTTCTTGTGAAGATCCTTATTTATATCTTCCTTTTTTTGTTGTCATTTTTAGCTAAATTTGATGCAAATTTTGGTGAATTTTGTGGAGTTTTATGGGGGAATTTGCTGTTTGTGAGTTTTAAATGAAGTTTTGGGGTTTGAATTATCGCAATTTGCGAATTGGTTTGGGATACATATGCGACTAGGGTTATCGTTTATAGATTTGACTAGTATGATTCTGAGCTATGGAAGGTGAAAAATGTTTCGTCTTGTAGCTGAAATGAAAAGGGATTTTAGTATTGGGAAATTCTATTCTTCTGTAAAGATCCTTGTGCTTTCTTCAACATTTTTTTTTTCCCATTTTAGCTGAATTTGAAGGAAAATTTGTTGAGTTTTATGGTAGGAGTTCGAGAATGAGGTTTTGGTTTTGAATTATCAGAATTGATGTGTGGTTTATACACAGGCAACTAGGCCTAGGGTTACTTTTGATAAGGTGGAAGAGTTGACTAGCATGGTGGAGCTATGGAAGTTGAAAAATGTTTCATTTTTTTGAGCTAAAATGATATCTTTTATAGAGTTGACTAGTATGATTCTGAGCTATGGAAGCTGAAGAATGTTTAGTCATGATATGATATGTTTTATTCTATGAGTTGTTTCCCAGTTTAGTGAATTGAAAAGGGTTTTTCGTATTCGGAAATTCTTTTCTTCTGTAAGATACTTGTCTTTTCTTCAACATTTTATTTTTCCATTTTAGCTGAATTTGAAGGAAAAATTGTTGAGTTTTATGGTAGGAGTTCTAGAATGAAGTTTTGGTTTTGAATTATCGGAATTGGTGTGTGATTTTTACACATGTAACTAGGGTTACTGATAAGGTGGAAGAGTTGACTAGCATGGTGGAACTGAAATGATATCTTTTAGGTTATTGCCATGTTGCCGAGCTAGTGAAATGAAAGGGTCTTTTGCATTCGGAGATCTTTAGCTTTTGTTGTTGTTCTTGAGGTAGTAGTGGTATAAGCTTTGAATTTAGGGAAATAGGTATAAAAATGGGAAATCTTTAGCTGTTCTAGGAAATTCTTAATCAAAGTTTGCTAAATTATGCAGTTTCCATTTTTCATAAATGGTTGAGAATGTTTCCTTAATGATGAGTTAACTATTGATAGATTGTTGAAGGCTGATCTTTGGGCTGTTGAAAACTTTGAATGCTTGGTGGTAACATTGGATTTAATGAAAGCACTTTTATTGTGCTGTTCTTTTCGACATCAATAGTACTTTCCTATAATTTTTTTGTTGTTATTTCTCCTTTACATTAGCTTATTATTCAAACTCATGCATCCGAAATGGAAAACACAACTTTAGATCAAACAGTGTATTTGAAGTAAACGAAGGGAATTTGCAATTACATGGTTTTGTACCTGTTGAGTATCATCATTTGTCTGCAGAGATGCTGCTTCATAATTGTGTCGCCGACTAAAGTTACAACAAAGGTTGAATGATGTGTTAGTAACTCATATACTTGCTTTTTTCAATGATGCTGGGTAAATTGATAGCTTATCAAAATATCATATGTAAATGTTATCGATGCATTATTGTTCAAGTGGTAATAGTTTTGAACTTGCAATCTATTAAGTTTCTCCAGCAAAGTATAGTGGTAATATAAATCTGTACAATAAGTTTAATACTTCCAAATTTTCACCTTTTCTAGTTTCTTGTTCCTTCATGTGTGAGATTATGTTTTTAATTTCCAGATCGAGAGACAATTATAACACAGATAATGCTTTAGATAGAGTACTGAATGATATTTGCATGTAGTGCTGAAGTGATATTATTTTGGCTGAGCAGAGCGGAAGTTCTCTCTCTTGACATGTTTATTTTCTCATTCACATTTTTTTTGGGTAACTATGATGTCTGGGCTAGCTTTCGTGCACCTTGATTCTAGGGATACCTGCCACCTCCCACCAACACATGTACACTTTGTCCACCAAGGCTAGGACTAATGAGAAGAGATGAGAAGAGATCACCCAGTGTTTTTGTCTTTGCTGGGATTTGAACTTGAGACCTCATGGTTCAACCAACTTCACATTCATTTCTCCTCCCTTATTTCAGTTTCTTTCTTCCATGTTGTGTATGTACATGGAGAGCCAGATAATTTCCTTTACTTTATTATTGAACTTAAACAAAGAATCGTTTGACTTTAAATGCTGATTCCGTAGTCTTCAATTTTAGCTATTTTCTTGCTTTCGGAAACCAAAATCCATCATTTTGCGTAGAAACTGATTCTACCCTTTTTTGTTATGTGAAACTTCATAAACCCGGCAGACCATGTTTTGCATACTGAATAGCCTAGTTTTCTCTGTTAACTCTGCATAACTTGGTAATAAATTATTTTCCTCAATTTCACTCTTCAGAATCAGGTAATTCACTATTGAAGTTTAGGAATATAGATTTTCATGCATATCTGCAGAATACTCGCTATGACTTCTCTATAAGTTGTGTAAACACTGTTTTTAATTACACGTTCATCAGAAATAAAAAGTGTATTTACTTTCTTATAAAGTGTATTTAGTTAAAGTATAAGCATATCAACTATGTAATAACACATGTGCAATCAAACATGACACTGCAATTATGATTTACGTGTTATGGCAAAAACCAGGTCATGTAACTTTTAATTTTTATACTGCATAATTACTTAGATGTGATATTACTACCCTAGTAATTACAGTTATTTCCAAACAGGTCCTAGGTGATTTCTTCCCATCTGCGTAAGCCAGATGGGCTTAGTTGGACAGCTGGGCGGGTGGGACCATGAGAGGTAGCATGTATTTGGTGTAATAGTTGAGGTGCGGGCAAGCTGGTCCAGATACCACCGTCATTAAAATAGAAAAAATATATTGATGCTGCTAATCATTAGATATTATCTATATATGTAATACATGATGTGAAAATATTAGATGCTGCTAAATACACTGGCTGTGGTATTTTATCCTATGTACAGGTCAACCGAGTAAAGTTCTATTAGATTTTACATTTTCACAGAGAACAGAACATAATGATTAGATAGCACATCTCAGTGACCAACTTCCACCCAGTGTTGATAATGTTTACTAGAGAATTAGTTGATGAAAGAATTACTAAAACTATAATAAAAGATATGTTCAAGTGTGTGTTTATCTTTTGATTTTTGTGTGCATATCAGGCTAAAGGCGTCCTTGTTCAAGCTTAGTTCACAAAAACATTACAGTGACATATAGTCAGATATTATATTGCGGTGGCAGCACAATGGACCCAACAAATGAAGGAAACAACCTCAATAACAATCCTAGTCTTGCTTCAAAGCAACGGTTGCGTTGGACCCATGAGCTACATGAACGTTTCGTTGATGCCGTCGCACAACTTGGTGGCCCAGATCGTAAGATCTCGAGTTTAATTGTGTTTTTTCTTTTATGTTAAGAATAAATAAAAATCTCCGAGGTAAAAGGATCTTGTTTGAGTTGCTATGGAGGCAGACTTCCTCTACTCTATTCTTTGAACAATATAGTAATGCAGTTATGTAGAGCATAAATAATTGTGATCTTTCCCATAATTATTTGTGTGTTTACATTTTTCCATTAATCAGTTTTTACGCTCTCTAGATGCATGCAGTACATAGAAAAACTCCATAACAATAAATAATCAGCAGCAGAGGTGGTACTGTATTTCCACATTTGGGCTTTGATCATTTAATTGTTCTGACATTATTTCTTTTTCTGATTCAGGGGCTACCCCTAAAGGTGTTCTTAGAGTCATGGGTGTGCAAGGATTAACAATTTACCATGTAAAAAGCCATTTACAGGTATACATGCTGCAGAAAAATATTCAGAACCGACTGTGACTCATGCTTTCTTTAAATTGAAATATTTCATTTTAGTGACTGACTTGCATTATTTGCCTGTTCATTCAGAAATATCGGCTTGCTAAATACCTCCCAGATTCTTCTTCTGATGGTAGGATCCTTTAGAATAAAAAATTTCAACTACGTTTATTTAATAAAGCTTTAAAAGATACTTAATTCCTTGGAAAATGTGGTGATTTTGATGATCCTCCAGTAACACTTTTTGATACCATTTTTTGCCTGCAATTGTGATTACAAGGGAAACAATCTGACAAGAAAGAATCAGGAGACATGCTTTCCAGTTTGGATGGTTCATCGTGAGTAGATTTTCCCTGTTTGCTGGTAGTTTATGAAGTTGCAAGCTTTGAATGTCTCGTAATTTACAGTTTTACACTAATGTCTGTATACACCCACTAGTGCCTATGCATTCTAAATTTGAATAATCTTGCCTTTTTAGCTGAAAAATCTTCTTAAACTGTTGGTACTTTTTGTGATTTTAATAATGTGAATTGTTGCTCTTTTCTAGGACTGGTGTGCAGATAAATGAGGCTCTAAAACTGCAGATGGAGGTACAAAAGCGACTTCACGAGCAACTGGAAGTATGTTCTCCTGGACTTCTTGTACACATTTGGAATGCATATAATGTTTTTGGATAATTAAAGCATGAGACAAAAAGTGAAACACACCGTTTGATTAGCAAGTTATTTTCTACCTATTTGAGAGTGTCTTTTTGCAGTTGCCATTGTTTTAAGGAGATGTTCGGCACCTGATTTAAACCTATTATTAACTTTTTACTTTTATCTTAAACTTGCCATTGAAACAAACATGCGTGTGAAAAATGTTTCTTCTGTTACTTCCCGTTAATACATTAATTGAGGCTTAAATTTCTCATCTTTGGTTTGAATTTCTCTAGTCTTCAAATGTTGTCATATATACTCTGTACTATCCGTTGTAGACATGAAAGAAGCTCTTTTACTTGTTAGAGCTGATCTTTGCATTCCATTTTAGATTCTTTTGGTTTAAACATTCCATTTCAGATGAGAACATGTAAAGTAATTAATTATCCATTTTCCTACGTACCACACCTAAATTCCATATTTTGTTTCTGATGGCCGTGGCACATACTTATGGGTATGGAGATTGCTACCAAATGAAGTGGCCTTTTAGTTGCATCTTCAAACATTTCCCTTGAAATCTACCTGGACTCTTTTTCTTTCATCAAAAGCGACTTATGTATTGGGCAAACTGATATTTGTACAAGGATAACTTGCTTCATTTTGATTTCATCTCATATCATCAGTTTGCTAAAGTGGAAGTTGTGGGACCTATGAAAGAACACACCCTCCAACAAGAGTTCCCTTTGAAGTTAGAATTAATTCTTAGGGATTTTGAAGGTTACTTGTTCTCACCTACTTCCTTTCTTACCTTTACAGGTTCAAAGACAGCTACAACTTAGAATTGAAGCACAAGGGAAGTACTTGAAGAAGATAATAGAAGAACAACAGCGGCTCAGTGGAGTTCTCTCAGAAGTTCCTGTTTCTGGGGTCACTCCTTCAGCAGCAGGTGACAATGGTGTAGATTCGGATAACCGGACTGATCCAGGGACTCCTGCACCAACATCTGAGTCTCCTCACATTGATACGTCTGTACAAGAACATGCCCGTAGCAAGAGCCTTTCTATTGATCAATCATTCTCCTCGCAACATGAGCCTCTTACTCCTGATTCTGGTTGCCGCGAGACTTCACCAATAAATAGCTCTGAAGGTGAAAGGTCATCAAAGAAACAAAGAGTGGGCACAAGTGCCACATTTACTAAAGCAGATATGCTACTTCCGCATCAGATATTGGAGTCGAGCTTGGGCTCACCATACGAGCAACCAAATCCTGTTTTCCTGGCGAGTGACCAATTCAATCTGTCATCAGGATTGTCTCTTGGCAATGAAGGACCAAATGTTTCTGGAAGCAACGTATAGTTACTCCATGTGCGACAGGACTTCAATTGAACTACTATTATGTAGTGTGAAAATATATGTTGTGATTTGGTCACAGAAGCTACTTTGCTTACTGAATGTGCTAAGGGTTAAATGTACTTTATTCTCATGTAGTAATACTTTACAGCTCTTGTTTAATGACACTCTTAAACGTTAGGCCATTTTCTTTTATTATTTAGAGGTTTGAAGTTGTGAAGTCTTGTTGCCTGCACTAATGATGCTATGAGGCTGTGTGTTTACCTTAGTTACTGATAGTAGAGGCGCCTGAGAACTGCGCCTGAGGAGTGGGAACAATGTGTGAAGGAGCTCTCATGTATGGATGCCATAGACATTGTTTCGTACATGCACAATACGTCATCCCATGCGTCTGGTTAATAGAGAAGCAGGAAACACAAGAAGCTACGTAACATCTAATATTTGCGTTTATACAGATTTCTAACAAATTTCCAATTGGGCATTCGTCAAGTTCTTCAGAAAAGAGAGAGAGAGCCAAAAAAAGATTAAAAGACAAGTTTCATACATCGGAAGTCTCATGAAAAGAACAACTCCATTCTGATGGCACACAGAAAATAATCTCTGCGATCCTCATCAAACCGGAGAGAGTTGATACTGCTTCATGATCCAATGTCCAAATTTATGAACATGATGGATGCATCTTCTTCTTGCGTACTTGTGATGATGAACTCGGCAATTTGTAGCGAATTGGTTTTTCAATTTCACCCTTGTTGTTTTTCTTTGTGATAATTAACGATCGCTATGGCTGTCATCATCATCTGAGGGTACTCCCTGACCGTAAATCTCCCATGGTTCTTCTTCACCATACACATGTAAGTTTTTCTCCATGAATTAATCTTATCAAATATTCAAGTCCTTCTGAAGCAGTTGGTTGGATGGAAACGGTACCCCAAGGGCTCCACCTCCACCAAAATTTCAGATCTAAAGAATGGGGCGGAGATGTGAAGGAGGAATATTTATTTCGTAAATACCAATTATATAACTAACTATATATCAGCATAAGTAAAAATTCATTCATATGATTCTTTGTCACATCATTTAATATATAGATTTTATTGGATGTAATTTCTCTCTGGTGATTGGTGTATTCAAGGAAGTGGATGCAAGTTCAAAATGACATCGACAACATGTTGAGGGACCAGGTTCACTTGTAAAGAATAGGAAGGTTGAAAAGTCCTTGTCAAGGTCTGAGAGGAAAACTTCGAAAGTTACGTATTTGAGCTTGAGATCCTCAAGAAACTAGGAATGAGGAACCTGTATGATTTTGTTCCTTGTTTGTTTGAAGCTGAAGTGAGAGAATTCTATTATATTATACTCGGATAGAAGTTTGGAGACAAAAGTTCATGATAATTAACTGAAGAAAGTCTAGGCCAGATTCTGAATGTTCCTTGGGAAGGGAAGGGGTCAGATCGATCGGTTGAAAACGGCTTGTATTCTTGATGAGGTAGGATTGAATTGTGCTGGAGGGGGAGTACCAGTTGTTGTTTGAATTTGAGACTTTTAGTAAAGCTTGACATTATAATCAGTAATAATGAACTATGTGGACTCCTGTCGGGCCTATTACATTAAAAAAATTAGAGTTTCTTATAAGTGAAGTAAGTAGAGATGGAAAGATATCTTGTGAAGCATGATGCAAAATTAATCTTCATCAAGTTTCCTGTCCACTTCCTGCTCCGTAATTTATGGAAGAAGAAATTAAAGGTAAGTAATGAGTATAGAAGTAAAATGAAAGTGCATGGACCAACGATTCAGATACTAGAGGGGCAGGTTCATCATGTTCTGATAAACAGATAATCACTGAGTTTTTCCATAGGTTTAGTATACTCTCAAGGTACCAACCACTTTTGAATTTTCCAACACATCTCGGAAATTAGGAGCTTTGGACTTCTGTACTCTCAGGTGCATAAGCAATGGTGCCTTTCCATAGAATCACTCATCATTAATTAATCAGGTTTATATATATATAGTATTCCTGCCGCTTTCAACCTTTCAAAAATATGATTAGACTCGAGGATTGGATGGAGCCAACTACGCATTTGCCAAATCATCCCAAGCACGTCAGCATTGCCACATCAAAAGCATTATTCGCCAAATCATCCCAAGTACTACGTTGGGAGTCTTGTAGCAGTATTAAAACTATGTTTCCAACACCAACAAGGACAGGGTCTGCTATCTATTTTCTAGCAATTGCAAAAACGCCATTCATGCCCATTACCAAGGAGATCAAAGTTGGTGTCATGGAAATCAAAGAAACATATTGTGCAGGTCCATCTCTACAACCTCTGAAGAAGCAGAATATACAATTGTTGCATAATTGACTTGGTCTAATGAAAGAAATTGGAACACAATTTCTGTTTTTCATGAAATTAGAAGTAAACAGTGAAAATTTCATATATGACATATATTAGACTAATATTTTTAAGTTATAGCAGTAGAATTAAACTTTCAAGTTGTAACAATAAAAATTTCAGGTTGTAACAGTTTCTTTAAAAAAAAAAAAAAGCTTTTTTTAAATAATTGTAAAATTTTGTTTTGAAAAAAATAAAAAGACAAAATAATAAAATAATTCGTTTCTGAAAAAAAGGTAAAAAAATGGAAATAAGTGTGTTAATTAAATTTGAATTGATTGAAGATAATTACTAATTAGCATAAATTAAGGAAATTCAAACTAATTAAGAATATTTAGTTTCCTTATTTCACTCTAATTTGTTAAAATTAATTAAAAATTCTGATTTCATCCATTTTCTTCCACGTTTCTCTCTCTTCGATTTTTTTCCAGAAATCTTGTTACTCTCATCTAATTCCTATTAGTTTTTATTCAATAATCTTTATTTTCTGGATGGCTTGTTATTAGTATTAATAAAAACATGGTGATAGATGGGATCCTTCAGGTTAGTGTTCTTTGCAATTTTTTATTTGCATTGTAATACAAATCAAACGTTCAAAAAAATTATGAACAGTGATTCTGGAAAAAAATATTCAAATTTTGTTTGTGAATAATAGTTTTAATTATGGTGTTT